TTGATTTTATGCTTAACTTTATTTTCTCATTGCTAAGACAAACCGATCAATTATCAAATCGAAAAATTTTGAGTTTTATAATTTACTGGAAATAATAATAACATTTTTTTGATGAGTAAATAGTTAGTTAAAATTGTTCAATACTGATAAAATTTGATTTTTAAATCTGTTTTGCATTGAAATTCTTTAGATATTGATTGTAATGTTTGATGAAACTTGTCTTGTCAAAATTAGAAATAAAACTGTATGCATTACAGTTGGCTGATTTTAACTGAAACCTATTAAATACGATGAAATTCGACATATATGAATAATTTTAATACAAATTATTCATGAGATTTATTTACTAGATAGTTTTATTTAACAATTATTATCACAAATGCTAAACACCGAGCATTTATTTAATTGATCAATACAAATGAATTTGAGAAAAATTTCTTTGCTAAAATCATCGTAGACCCTTCTATTTCCGATACATACATGAGAGATGGTAAATGTTTTCTCATGCAGAAAATGAGAATTTTCAACTTAAATGCTCAGAGTTTTATTATATAATAGATAAAACTAATATTCGATCCAAAATAAAAGACAGGTTACCATTTTTCGAATAACTTTTGATAGGAACGAGATAGAGAGCTGCGCTTTTCACAATTTGAAAGAGCGATGTCCGAGCCATCGATCAGTATAGAACTCATTAAGATGAAAAATACTTTTTTATAGGTACATATGAATCAACACTTTTTCCTTTGAGTATTTTCATCAGTTTTGGCAATGAGCTCCACTCAAATTATGTCAAAATGTAGCTCAAATCACCTTTTTTTCTTTGATATAAAATTAACATTTGTTTTTTTAGATCCCCTTAGAGTAAGAGGTTGAGGCATAGTGAAATATGTGATAATTTTATAGAGAAAAAAGGGTGGGTTCAGCTACATTTTGACATAATTTTAGTTGAGATTATTGTGAAAATTGATGAAAATACTCGAAGGAAAAAAGTGTTGATCCATAGGTACCTATGAAAAAAAATATTTCTCATCTTACTGAGTTTATATTGATCGATGGCCCAGGCATCGCTCGTTCGAATGCCGAAAAGCGCAGCTCTCCATCTTGTCCCTATTAAAAGTTATTCGAAAAATAGTAACCTGTCTTTTATTTTGAATCGGATAATATATATGAGTAAAGTCATAAACACAGACGAAAAGATTAAATTCTCATTTTCAGGTATTACTCGTCTCGTTGAATCAAACATTTTTTCTTTTCTCTCGTTTTCATCAAGAAATTAGAGAGACACCATAGAAAGCACTGACATCATATAGTTTCTCTATCCTATTGGTCATTATTATGATGACCAATGAATAATGAATCAGATGAAAATTTATTTTTCGTGTATTTTAGAATTTTTCAATTTATCTTTAAGAGTCAATTTTATTCTAATGGAAGTAGCTGTTGTGGAAAATGAACCAAGACTACCTATTAAAACCTATGAACATGATTGGATTCATATTATATATATGATTACATCTACTATATGCTTTGTAATTGCAGTTTATCAACGTATTTCAATAGATTTTTTCTATGCTTCGTGTTAGTCTTTTGTATTTGGATTCATTGAACTGAAAACATTGCTTTTATATAAACAGACACTAACACTTATGTTCATGTACCATCTCTTAATCAATATCCAACAGATTTAACTGCGTCATCTACAAGTATTTCTTATATTTGGTATCTCGTTTTCATTTGGCAAGTAAATAAATTTAAAAAAAAAAGCTTTATTACACCACATTCAAACATATATCTAGGCTATGTGGATCATCTATTCATTTATCTGTATATTTCGTCGTACTTCATTCGGTTATTATTTCTATCAATATCCATGTGCTATGAATAGATGGTGTTTTTTTTATACAGCATCTGCTCTTCTTCTCTATATACCACAATTAGCAGCTGGTGCAAATAATACATATGATGTTTCGGTAAGAGGAAAAAAAGAATTTTTTTTCATATTCATTTTGTATTTATTTAAATAAGATTTCAATATTTCGTTATATTGGTACATTAGTTAATGTTTTTATCGTTGTTGTTATTGTTCATAATGCTTTACAAGATAATATGAGAGATTATTTCAGAGATAAATAGTATGTTTTTTTTTTTGTTTGATTATGACATAAAATATTATCAGCTTTTTTTCGATATTTTTCAAGTTTTCTTGATGTTTGGTTAACACGATTGCTATATCAAAATGGTTTAGCTATATGGGCATCTATTCTTTTTTATGAAAGTTGTCTGTCAATTACTATTGGTCTTATTTATAGTAATAATGATTATTCAACAGCTTCGAATATTGGAGGATTTATTCTTCTTATTGGACTTATTATGATATTTTTTTTTGAAAATTGTGGATTCAATAATAGTATTGCTTTTATTCTATCACATTGGTTTATTTTTTTATGGCTTCTTATTGATATAAATTTTTTATCAAATAATAAATTGTCAGAATCATTTTGTGCCATAATACTTCTACCTACGATTGAATTTTTAATTTTTATCTACATAGTGGTACGTTTACTTTTGCTTTATTTATTTTTCAACTGGAAAATATTACCGACTTTTCATTCAGGAAGAGTTTATAGTCTTGTTGTTCCACCAATAGCTTTTTAAATTGTTGATGGTTTTTTTTGGTTTTGAAAAATATAAAAATTTTTCTTTCAGATGGATGATTTATCAAAACAATCATATTGGAATAAACGATTTTTAATAGAAGATTCATATGAATGGTTCGGTGATTGTTTACGTCTTTATCCTATATTAGATCTTTATTTAAAATCTTCACCTTCATTTATTTTACTTCATCTTGGTTGTGGTTCATCATCACTTGCTGAAGAAATGTATAATCGTCATTATTGTCATTTAATTTTGAATGTTGATTATTCATTTTGTATTCTTGATAAACGACGATCAATAAAAAAAAATGAATGTTTAATTGATTGGTTTGCTTTAGATATTCGAGCAATGCCTTTACGTTCCGAATATTTTGATACAATTATTGAAAAAGGTACATTGGATGTATTTTTTATTGGACATGAACATTGTCTATGGAATCCATCAGAAGAATTAAAAGAAAAAATTGATTTGATATTAACACAAATTAGTCAATGTTTACGATCTGATTCTGGTCGATTTATTTCAATCTCATTTCAACAACCTCATTTTCGTCGACCATTTTTAGCAAAACAAAAATATCAATGGTCAATTCAAGTACATTCCATTTCCGATGGAAATGAATCAATGGAATATTTTGTTTATGTTATGACAAAAGGTGAACAAATGAATGAAGAAGATCGACTATTAGAAGAAGGAAAATCTACAAAATGGACTTGGATTAATAAACAAGAAAGTTTGAGACAAATAACAACATATTATGTCGATGAGCAGGATGATCAGTATTTGTTAAACATAAACATCGAAGATAATGAATAGATAGGACTATTGGTCAAGTATATTTAGTTATTCTTCAAGTTGATTTGTTATATTTTTATGAATTTTCGTTTCTTTCGCAATAAATATTGTTTTCAACTTCAGATATCTACTTAGAGCAATTTAAAAGTAATGAGAGTGACACTTGAATATCACATAGTAAGTTTGAGAAAACGTTTCTTTCCATATGGAGTGATAGAAAAAACAATGCTCTATCTTTCTATGCTATGTGATCATTCTTCATCTAATATCATAATAATAAAATTCCTATGAAATTTGTTTAGCTGTGATATGTAAGGATAAAATTAATTCATATTGTCTTCTATGTGCACTCTCGTCTTGATCTTCTCTTTATTCTTTTTTTCTTGTTTCTTTTAATATCTAACTCTTCGCATATAAAAATGTATACAAAAGGAGGGATAATAGAATAAAAAAATACAAAAACAAGTTCAACAACGTTTTATCTCATCAAATGTTCAAAATATTCGTCTTCGTTGAATCTATTTATCAAAGGTTTTCTTATACTCTTCTTTATTCAAAGAATTCATGAAGTTGATTACAGCATGATGTAATAATTTAGAATCGTTTTGATCGCTCAGATTTTGCTTAGTCAAGTTGAACAACCAAAAATCACATGGTGCCAGCCAGATTCGGAGAATTAGTTGGATAAGGTATTATTGTGATACCCTCTAATTCAAGATAATTGAGCACTTCTTGATGAAAATGTAATGTTCTATTCTCATGGTAAAGTTTAATTGCACGAGTACCAAAAGTGGGTCTCGGATTCTTGATTTCATTAATAACGGGCTACCAACAATTATCGATATAATATTGATGATCGATAGTTTGATCACGTTCAACATAATGTATTAAAAGTGGACCAGCTGACTTAAAGAAAATGCATAACAAGGCTCTTGAACCGAAACGACTACGTCGAACAATTGTTGGCGAAGAATCTCCTCTTGTCATCAAAGCAGCATTTGAAGATTTTCGACCAGTTAAATTTTACTAAATTTTCTTTGCATATTCGAACTCGTTCAACGCGTTGAAAATCTGTCAGCTGTTTATGTATATAACGAGCGATCATTTTTTTAAGTTTCAAATGATCGAAGGTTATTCGGTGAACAGTGCTGCCATGATTCAAACCAGTTTCAGTTTTGAAGTTCTTCTATTGTAACATAAGGATCATCATTAATAATGCTATGAACTTGTTCAATATTTTCAGAAGTTGTCGCTGGAGCAGATTTACCGGGTCACTCTTTATCTTCAATCTCTTCTTGACCTTTACGCAACCGTTGAGACGATCTTGCAACTATTTGAAAAGAAGGAACCTCATTACCGAAAACAGTGTATAGTTCATCATGAATAGTTGTTGCTTGAATATGAAGTGCAGTACGCACTTTAATGTAGAAGCGAAAATTGTCTTTATTCATCTAAAACAGAGATGAATGATGATAAAACTTAATCTAATTTTATTTCTTCGACTTTCATGTGGACACAATAATAAACTGCACATACACACAAAAAAAGAACATGTCTTTGAATATATAAATATATATACATATATGTGAAGAGTTAGGTATTAAAAGAGACAAGAAAAAAAGAACGAAGAAAAGAGTGAAAAAGAAAAAAGAGAAAATCAAGACGAGAGTGCACATAGAGTACAATATAAACTAATTTTATCCTTACATATCACAGCTAAACAAATTTCATAGGAATTTTATTATTATGATATTAGATAAAGAGTGATCAAATAGCATAGAAAGATGAAGCATTGTTTTTTCTATGACTCTATTTAAAAAGAAAGGTTTTCTCAAACTTACTATGTGGTATTCAATTGTCACTCTCAATACTTTTGGACTGTACTAAGTATTGTTGTTACATTCATTCAAATTGTCTTTTCTCATTCTTGGTGCCACTTTGAACAATATCACTCTTGTATGATCTAAGTTCTTTTTATTTTCATTGAAATAAAAAACAATATAGTATTGTTTCAAATATTCTATGGATGTTGTTGTATATAATCGCCAATAGGAACAATCTATATATTTTTGTATGTTCACTATGATGTTTAGAGAAAATTTATTAGAACGTTGTGAACACATCAATAGCTAGCTAGTATGACATGAAAGGTGGCTATGTAGAAAGAGAGCGTATTTTTCGCTGCTTCAAAAGTGATTGCGTTTTAATACATTCGATTGACGATCGTAATGTAACCAGAAAAAAATTCTAGGGAGTTTCAGCACCTTGTAAGCTCTCTACTTCTATAAGGAGATTACTTCAGTACTTTGAAATTTTCTAGGGATCTCCAAATATATCTAGAGGAAACTATGTCCTTCCAGTCACTTCACACTCTGGTTATGTTACTAAAATATATCGTACTCGTTTTTAAACTTGAGCATTGGCCTGAAGATACATTAGACATCTTATTCCTTAGACGTCTTTTCATTTTTCTGCAAATGCTTATTGTAATCTGTTGTTTCATTGTTGAAATAGTCTCCAATCGCCATTATCCACGATTGCTCTAAATAAATGCATTGTCTATAATTAGAGCGTCTATAGAGAAAGTTGCACCTAAGAGCAACGCATTCATACAACACGTGTAGAAATTCTCACTTTTCATTTCATTTCATATGAGCCTGCTTCATCGATTATAAAATGTACCGGTAGTCTTGGGACAATGTTTTTTCAGGGTAATATACTCTCGAAAGCATATAAACAGTTGAGCTATGTCTGAATAGTCTCTTACAAACAACTATGCGTACTTCTAATATTTTGCAAGTCATTCGGGACCGCTCATGAAATTTTCATTAATTATATGTGTAATACGATAGAAAGAAGACTGTATACTTTTTATTTGCAGGAATTGTAGAAAACTTTGATGAAAAAAGACGATAACAATAAATGAGAAACAAGTGTCTAAATATAATAATAACAATGTCTACACCGTTTACCACTAACATTAGGGACGATTACAACCAAGCTACATTTCTATTATATCTGACGTACAATTTTTTAATCAGTCTTAAAAAGCTATTAAACCATGAGCAAATATTTCTTGCTTATTCGTACAGACTGTCATTCTACTATTCAGAAAATTAGATACTTATAGTTTTATATTGAATCACTGAGACTGAAAGAAATCGAGTGTCACTAGTTGAAATTCGGTTCGGTTCAACTTCATTCTATAAAGCACAGTTTGGATCCGATTTGGTTTTAGTTGATTCCATTCGTGTCTACTTAGAACAAGAAAACTTTATAATAATTAGTTATGCTGTAGTTGGACAGTAGAAGCCTCATATTAGATGATTCATTTAAACTATGAATAATAACTCATTTTGAACCAATGTAATCGCTTGAATATGTGTAGCATATTTTTTTTAAAATTAATTCTTTTCTTTTTATTCGATTATGAAAAAGATAGGGCAAATTCAACAAATAGAATAACACGAAACTGTAAAATATTTCACAATAAGAATACAAAAAATAAATAAATAAATAAACATTCATATGAAATTATTTATTTTATTATTTTTAACCGAGCGAAGAAATAGAACATCATTGATCGTGGTGAATTCTAGATCAGCACAACTGCGTGGAAAAGATAATACTTTGCTTGCTAGTTTGGATTAATGAGTAAATGTTGGTGTGTCATATTGTTGCCAAAATGTTGGTGAACTTAAATAAATTTCATTTGTCTTTGAGTAGCAAATCTATATATTTATCGACTTTATCTTTACTATATGACATATTACGAGAATCATTTGATTCATTAACGATTCTAAGAGCAATTTCGGTTTCTTCATTGATGATTTATTAATACTTGTGCAATTATCAATAATCCTTTGAATTCAGAGGCGGTAGAATTGCTAACCGACAAGAAGAATGACAAGCGAAAATTTGCACCTACGTAACATGCCTTAATTATTTATAATTAGGATGTAGAAATGTGGCCACAACATATATATTCTCAATTGTAAACACAAATTCTAATAAGTTTAATAATATCTTCGTTAGTTGATTCAACATTTCTTATAATTTGTTCACTTTATTTAAGTTATTACCGATTCTTGAGATTGTTACTTTTCATTTACAAGAGGGCGTGGGCGTTATGACGATATCTTTATACTACACCTCTCTCATGATTTCTCTTTATATAATGCTTGCTCTCTCCTTTTCTCTCATCTATTTTTGTATATAAACATGTGTTCGGAGTTTAAACGATGCAGTTGATGATAAGAAACAACCTAATAAAGTATTATTCTGTTTGAACTGAGACCTTTTCTATCAAAAATCGTCACCGGTGTGGATAGGAAGAAGATACTCACTGGCGTCGAGTTTTTCATCGTTTGAATTCCGTAATTAAATCGATTAGTTTTTCGCAAGTTAATTGAAGAATTTCAAATGGCTGATCCGATTTTATTGAAAAATTTCTACAAGTTTTAATTCTAGATAGTGCCAATAATTTTAAAAAAAGTCAACAAATCATTGACAAGGTAAAATGACAGCGAGCAATGGCTAGAAATATATCAGTTTTTTATTATATCTGAAATACTTGGGTGTTTGTTTCTTACAAATGAAGAACGAGCTATTGGAGAAAAAACATTTGTCTAGTTGCAATAATAAATAAATATCAACAACGAATAATTGATTTATTTATTATATGTGTATTATGACTAAATTATCTTTACAATCAATAAAATTAAATAGACATAAATGAAATTAAAAATCAGTCTTTATTAACAAATAGCTTTGCATCATCGTTTAAAAGCTGAATATTCTGAAAGTATTCATTATTTAGAAGTATTATTAAAATGGCATCTAACAATAGAAAATTATTCTTGTATAATTTACATTAACTAATTTAAATGATTTGAAGATAATATTGAAATATGAGCGATGCCTAGTAAATTTACACTTGTTGAAAAGTTTCTACATAAAGTAATTAAAGCACAGTAAAACTCAATAGCAGCTGATAGATGGCAAATTTTAGGTGTAGGAAAACATAAACATTATTTGTATTTATATATGTTCGTGTTTCATTGGTTCTCTTATATTGTTGTCTGCCAGTTTGCTAGCTCACTTGATAATTTCAGTTTTCTATCTTCCATTATTATTGTCTTGATTCTTCTCTATATCGTATCAAATGTTATACGAATGAATCGGACTCACACATCAACAATCTCAAAATCTACGAAGATATTGTCACATTGTCAGACAAGCAGATTCGTTTTGAATCTTCAAGTGACTTTTAGCCGTTACTTCATACACCAGGAAAGATTGAATTTTGTATCTAAGAACATAAAACTGAACCATAGAACACTAGCTCGTGTTATTTTTATCATCAAGTTACACACAAATTACGAAAGTATTCATAGTATTGATACCTTAACAAGCAAAGGTATACAATAATATTTTAAAATTGAATGATGTAATGTATTTCAGGAAACACGATGGTCGTAACAAAAAATATATGTGAACATGTGTTTGATATATATGCATGCCTTCTCGTAAGAATCAATGGACCGTGGCATTAAATAATAAAACAGCAGGGGCACTTTTAATATGGCTGAGTGAATAACCACAGCGGCGTAGCTAACTGTATGTCTGTTCTTGCTTTTCGTTTCTTCTATTGGTGTATACGTTGTCATATGTAATGTAAAGACTAAAATGAATCATTAACTCGATAAAAAGAAAGAAAGAAAGACAATAACGATTCTTATTGGTAAAAGCATTTTTGAAAAATTTTGCTTGATACTAATAGACCATACTCATCGTCTATACTCTAACTTAACATTTTGCTTATGCTGCTCTATTTAAACCTATAACTTTTATCGAATTAATAGTCGGTCAAGAGTTGGTGATCGACTCTCATATAATATCGATGAATACAATCAATGACAACAAAACTAAAAAAAAAATCTAGTAAAATTTTCTATTTATAAGTTCTTTAGCACATATTAACTTTGAACCATTATCATTAACTTTTTTAAATTCAAAATTAATTGCTGTTGTATTTTATTGAGCAGTAATAAATATGAAAAATTTCAATATCACTACAATAGCAACATTCATTTCATTGTATCGTTTGTTTCATGTACAAGCTTAACAATACACTCATTGATTGAGACAAACGATAGTCATTCATGCGTGTTTTAAAGCAAGCTAGATAATCCAATTTTCTCGATCTTAACATTAACAATTGTTGAAAATTGTGTTTTGATACTAAGAAAGATACTTTACTGTTCTTTTTCATTATCGAAACTTTGAATTCGACCATGCATGCTGTGACCATGCATTGTTTGTTATATTTTACTACTCTAATATTGATCATATAACGAAAAAAAATTATTCGAACCTCAAATAGGTCTTTGATTTATAATATAAAAAGAGAAAAATGATATGCTTCACATGTAAACAGTGATAGAAAGAAAGAATGATTAGTTTGTCTCTTTTCATAAGAAAACAGCCATGTGCTTGCGATTTTTTATTCAGCAAAGAGAAAACCTTGTCTTGTGCAGAGTGTAAGAAGAGAACAAATATAAAAGTTCGAAAAAATCATAATATGTGGGGTCTCTAAGTTTATAATCTTAAATCAAAAACGTACGATTCGAGCAGATTGTCATGAAATAAGGTAATATTTTCGTCATTAACATATAGGAACTAACTGACTATTTCTCCTTAAGGTAAAATGTTAAGAAATGCTTCGCTTAATAACTCCTCTTCATATAATGACATATTGGAAAAAAAATTGTCGTGATACTCAAAGAATATCATACAGTGTTTGTCACGACCAACTACGTAGTTACTAATAAATGAATAAATCAAGTCACAAAGATCAATCACACACGATTGTATACTGATGAGTTAGTACAGAAAGTAGTAGTCGTATAGGATAACTGTTTACAATCATTATAAACAAAGTTCTAAGATATATAA